CAGGCCCAATCCTCGGTGCCCTTTGTTCCCAGCACGCCCAACCAGTCGCCTGGCCAGCGCTACGCTCACCCTCCCGCGCACATGGGGATTCCCGAGCAGCAGATTGGGTACTCGCCCTACCAAGAGATCGAAGAGCTGAGGCACAAGGTGGGAAAAGTGGCCGCGGCAGTCGCTGTGCTGTGGTGGCCGAACATGACACTCCTAATGAGAATTTCTAAGTGACTAGAACGGAGACAGAAATACTTGAACGAGCAGCATTCACAGTATCAAGTGGAATTAAAGTTGGCAGGTGGCGCTCTTCTGCCAGCCAGTCACAACCGCACCCTCCAACGAGGAGAGTGCTCTTTTCATTGTTGCACACACCTTGAAATATGCCAACCAGCTTTCTTGATGCGTTGCTACTTGTGGACCTGTGAAGATGTGTGCTCTTGATGATGGGGGCTTTGGGGTGCTTTCACCAGGCGTTGTGAAGACAGTGCACGAACTGGAGGCTGTCAGACAATATGAGCTCAGTAGAGACACATGACGCAACCAATGTGTAGTGTTTTGACTTTGATTTGGTGATACATTCATCCATTCAACCAGTTGTTCCTTGTGCGGGTAATGCAGCTGCACTGCTGCTGGCATATGTCTGGAAAGGCAACCATCTGTCCCTCTTTTTGCAGAACCGAACACTGGAAAAAGAGAAGTTTGAGAAGGAGTTGGAGTCACGCAGGCAGATTCGAGAATTGGTTCGCCAGGAGGAGATCAGGATCGCTGAATTGACAAGTGACTACGAGGCAAGGCTGAAAAGGAGGATGGAAGAATTTGAACAAAGAGAGGAGGAGCACATGGGTGTGATCAACCATCTGAGGCAAGAACTCAGGCAAAAAGACAGGGTGACCAGCCAGTGCGAGCAGGAAATCAGGAAAAAGGATGCAAAGCTTGCTGCTTACAAGAAAAACATTTCAGATATGAAAATGCAGGTTACAGAGACACAAGAACAAGTTGTGGCTCTGAGGAAGAGGCAGCAGAGTCTGAATGATGGTATGTTATGGAGGGGCTGTCCATGGTTCTCAAAGCTTCTGCAATTTAGTGCACAACTTGCTCTGCATTGCAGTTCCATGTTGGCAATAGACCGTCAACTTGTTCAAGTTGACAGAAGAAAGCCCAGTGCATCTTGGAGGCGATGATGACCAATGTTCAACCAGATCATTCCTGTATTGTGTTTGTTCTGAATTACTGAAAATTTAGCCTGCCCCTGTCCAGGTCACACAAATGCTGCCCATACGGCAGCCTTGGAGGAGGAGATTGGGGCCCTGCGGACAAGGGTGAGATATTGTCCATTACAGCCATCCTCTTTCACAGCTGACTGTGCTCCCATGCTCTGAGTTTATTGCTTTGCCACCATTAACGATGTCTGGAGTGGTTGTTCAGTTATTGCCAGTTTCTATGACAACCCTCCATCATTGTGTTGGTGGTTGCTATGTTGTGCCTGAGCAAGCAAATTTTGTGAACTGCGTTCACAAACCATATCACCTTGACGGTGCTTGGGGCTTCCATTGGCTCATGCATTGCCCTGCAGTGTGACGCATGAACGAGTTTGTGTTTAGATGCTGTAGAAATGCAGAGGGACGTTTGCACGTCATTGGCCAAGATTGGATGCTGCAATGTGCAACTTCTCTTCATCTGTTAGCAGTGCTTGTGCCCAGAACGTTGGCTCTGCTAGAATTCAATTGAAACCATCATGTACCTGTCTGTGCCAGATTCGCGATTCTTTGAGTGAGCAGTTTGACAAGGAAGGATAACTCGTCAGAGCCATGCTGATCCTGTCTGGGCTGAGATCAACCCGCTGCACAGACAAAACCTCGACTCCCTGCTCGCAATGGGCTCAAACTCCGGCTCGGCAAGAGATTGGCTTTCTAAGAGACACCTGAAGAAACAGAAAGGAAGGTGCTGGAGGCACAGAAGCAGCTGGAGGAGTTCCGCCAAAGAGAAAAGGAGTTAGGAGAGCAAGTCAGCCGTGTGAAGCAGGAACGTGAGGCAAAGGACAGAAATTTCACTAGGATTGTCAACCACCTCAGGCAGGAGTTGATGAACAGGGATGCCCAGCTCGCTATCTACAAGAAGACCCCTGAGGATATGCAAAGGAAGATGCTGGAGGGACAGAAGGAGCTGGCTGAATTCCGCAAGAGGGAGAAGGAGTTGAGAGACCGTGCCTGCCTCCTCAAGAAGCCAAAATGTTGAGCAAATGACAGAGCTTCCAGCTATGTCCACTAGCTCTTGCAGGAACTCAGGAACAGGGATGCCAAGCTAGCTCCTTATGAGGAGACTCCTGAGGAAATGACAAAAAAAGGTGCTGGAGGCACAGGAGGAGCTGGAGGAATTCTGCCAGAAAGATTTCTGGTGAATTTTTCGCTGCCTGAAGCAGGAACATCAGCCGAAAGACAAGAGATTTCAATGGTTAGGGGTGGAAAGTTTGCTTCCCATGAGAAGACTCTTGATGAAATAGAAAAGGCAGTTGCCAGAGACACAAAAGCAGCTGGATGGTCTCAGAGAGAGTGTGTGTGTGGAATGGAGCTATGGTGCAGACGCAGGTAACTAAACCCTGGCAGTGTATGTGCAGAACGCGTTTGATCGCCTGAACATGCTCACATTATGATGATTTGCTTCCTTGTTCATCTCTTGATGCCATTGTTGGAGCTGCCCTATGGTGACACAAGCTCTGAACATTTGGCCTCCTGCAGAAAAGAAGGAATATGTGGATCGTCTTTGGGTCATGTTTCCAGCAGCAGGTGTCTAACATTTCTTGTCCGTTAGATAAAACTTTATCACGCTCAAGTCACTTAATATTGACTTTCTGATTGTCTGTCTGTGTCTTTGGTTGCTAATTTTGCTGGCAGGACAATCTGCAATGTTGAACATGCTGTACATCTGCGATGTACTGCAACGACATCATTCAATGGTCCACCAATTGACAGCTTGTCAGCTTTACACAAGTGCCATGGTTGCAAATTATCTACTCTTTTTCCTACGTGGATTTCCTGATAACAGAACTACAAAGAGTACTGCTGGAGGTGACGCTTTTTTGTGCACTTTTGCAATCAATGTCTACTTTGCTTTGGTTGTTTGCAGGATCTTTGGGCAAGCCACATGCTGATGAACACCGATTTGTGGGCGGATGTTCAGGACTACCTTATAATAAACATAGGTACTGTGCATTTGTGGTGCTGTAATGAGGTTAAGGGGAGCTCGGGATGGAGGCCAGTAGTAATGTAGAGGGTCTGACAATGGAGACAGGGAGTGGGCAGCTGTCTCAGGGACGCCCGTGGTAGATAGACTCATCGCAGGCACAGGAAGTCCAGTGCTGTGAGCAGGTTGTGAAGGAAAGGAGCAATGCAGTGTGATGTGCTGCCGGATACGGATTACTGAAGCGATCCCTCCAGAATGTACAAGCTGGTAATGTGGTTGATGGGGGTTGGCTGCTGCGTTTGGCAATGGCATTTTTATGGAGAAGAAAATTGGGAAACATGTTTGTGTAAGAATAGGGCTGGCCTTTCTTCTGGATTGTGTTTTCAACCCTGCTGTGAGACTGTTGCATGTGGCTGGCTGCACTGAGTGTCGCTAGGCACCACCTGAACACACGCAAAATGCAAGCAGAAGCAGAATGCCCCCAAGCACATTCTCGAGTTTTATGTTTCGTGCATGGTATGGTACTGAATGAATGCCTGAGGCACTCTGCGATTGGGATTCGCCTTTCCGCACTGTGCTTTTTTGGGCTGTGGTATTTGGCCTATGCTGCAATTGTTTCAGATGATGTCTCTTGGAGCGAGTCGCCACGGGACAAGCCCGCTGACACCAAGGGGGATAACTTGCTGTACGGCTTGCAAAATTTGTGGCCATCTTGCAATTCAGAATGGGTTCGTCAGCCGAAGAGACGCTGGCGAAGCGCAACATTGAGGCTCTCGCTTTGAGCGAGCGGTGGACGTTAATAAGCATGGTCCTAAGCAGATGGTATTTCAGCGTGCCTAGCTCGCTGATGAGTCCAGTGCGGTCCTTTGATTGCTTTCTACAGCAACACCGCTGATGATCTGCTAGGGGCCCCTTGGAGTACTTGAGACCGAGCATACCTTTGGATTCGAACAATTTGGAGCTTTGGATCGCCTTGCACGCTCGTACTAGGTGGCAAAAGGCTCACATACTACATTGTATGCTGTGGTAGGACGGGGAGGGCACCTGGACACTGAAGGTGATGTCATAGGTTGGAATCCAAGAAAATCGCCACCGATGTCAGGCAGTCCCCAGGCCAGAAAAGGCGTAGCAAAGAGTGCCCATGGGCTGCGATTGGCCAGCTACTGAGGGAGATATTCCACAACGAGATGTGTGCATTACACATGCATGCATCCATTTCCAGGTGGAAGTTATCCCCTTCTGTTGTATGGATGCCTGCTCCTCCCACCCCCTTTCTGTCCCCTCCCCTCCTGTTAGTCGTCTGTTGTTTGGTCGGCATCACGCCGATGCTTCTACCAAATTGGCGCCCAGGTGGATGAAGGTTCGGGAGTGGCACGAAGGAAGTACTTAATTGCATCCGACATCAATCTACGCCAACAATGTGCCCTGAATGCCTCTCAACTTCCGGCAAGGTCTCTTGAACGTTCAACCTGCAGATGGCATCAGAAGCAAACAAAAACTCTCATGCTTGCACCTCCACGGCCAAAGCGGTGATGGCAACTTGTAGTGGAGTCGTAATATGGAACGCTTTTTGACTGGGGCGATCGCATCTTATCACATGGACCTCCATCGATTGTGGGGCGCAGCTTCAGGGTTCCGACCCATCACCATCCAAACAGGGATGATGGCGTTCAATGTCGGCGGGAGTTGGAATCCTGAGCAAAGATCAAACAAAGCCGAGAGCGTCTCAAAGCACATTATCGTGAAATGTGTGTTTTGCGTGAAATCACGCAACAATAGAAAGCTGGGGTAATCCTCATCATGAATTTCCACGTTGCAAGGCAGCCCACCATAGACCTTCATCTTTCCTGACCAATATGTGGGAAGTGTTCTTCGGTACCTTTTTTCTTTAAATCGCTTCATATCTTCTCTTTCAATGAGTGGTTGCTGGCGAACCCGTTCACAATGCACGGATTGCAAAACCTTGTGGCCATCCGCTCAGGTCAGAATCAGGTTGCTATCCGTAGTGTTTTGTTCCCTGGCGCTTCCCTGGCCATTATCTGCAGTGAGGCTGTCTCACCCAAATTTACCGGGCACATTGTCCACGTGAAGGTGCTCTGGGCCCAAATCTCTCCTGGACACAACAAGTGTGTGAGCAATGGTGTGCAGCCTGTGTTTATCTCCTACAGGGCCGCCACTGTCCTAGCACGCCCATTTAGGGGCAATTTTTGGTGAAACTGGGCCCCTGATCATGGTGGTGGCGTTTCGATAGTGGCAATATTAAACGCTTTCCCGAAAAGGATGAATGTTGCCCTCAGCCTGATTAATGATGCCCCAAGCCTCTTCCGATGTCACACGTAGGTCCCTGCCGCTGGCGGCCGTTTCTAGACGTTTGCCAGCCGTTTCCATGACTGATCATTGCCGTGGGCCGACTTTCAAGGATCCCGTTTGCCAGCTCATGCCCTGGCCACTCATGGCGCAAGGCTTTAAAGCGCCCGTGAGGAGCAATGGAGCATCAGCTGCAACATTGCAGTGAGCGGCCCATTGAGGAGCTACACGCAATTGGCTCTTTGCGATTGCCGGCTCCTCGGATATCCGAGGCGCCTGTCACCATTATCGCTGACGTTGTTGGCGCAGAAATGTCGGATCCTGCCTCCAGCCTGTAGTTCTATCCACAACTGCACATCCGCATATGCCTGGCGGTTGAATGCACTGGGAAATTACATTCGGCATTTTTCACAGGCTAGAGAAGAGCTCCTGGAGAATGAATTGAGCTGCAGCGATCAACACACTATTGGCATTCGCCTGGCCAACAAATTGGAATACCTTACAAATTGCAACCGGCTCTTGGAGCTGACGAAACAGAGGCCTTTGGCCTTAAGGTCCACGGTTCTCTTGTCCCCGCCAGATCCTTTGGCGGTTGTCCCACGGAGTTGTGATAAAGAACCTAAAGGAGTCCAGTAGAGCTAAAGACCCATGGGCTATAAGTCTACGACCAGGCCCGAATCCAGTTTTAGCACAGGTGGATCACCTTTGTGGAAACTTTTAATCTGTAACCACAATTGGAAAGTATTGTTCATTAATTTGAATAAGCTCAACTTCATTGGACCAAATACTACTATGCCTCAACGCAATTTGTAGATATATATGAACAATATATTGTTTCATTCCTTTGAGTCTTTGCAAACCTATGAACATCTGGATTTCAAGAACTTCGTTTGTAAGCATCAGGGTATCTGTTTTGGCTGTGATATAAAAAGCCAGGAGACTTTTCGGTGAAGTGTAGGGGCGGCCGCGTGATCGCTGGGTGCTGCCTTAATCACGACGATTACACTTTGCAGCCATGCGTTCGGAATTGCCCGGGAGGTCGTGGACGTGGCTGCAGACACGGCATTTCCAGAAATTTGGCATCGCATGTGTACCTCGACATTACCCAAGGCCACTGAACCGGCCACTGCCGGTAGAGCGTCGGCGCTCTCTGCTAGTACATGCATTGAACTTGTTTCAGGGCTCCAGGATCATTAGCCCAGAAACAGACCTGTGTTTTGGGCTGTGCCCAGAATGCTGCATGGCAGATACCCCGTGTATATCCCAATCTGCAATCGCATTACTAAGGATAGGGCCGCATGAGTATACTCATAGTGTACCTACACAGGCCGCTGTCACATCGCCCTTGGGTGCCAGTGCCGGCCTGTCACATCGTCTAAACAGGGGCCAATGCGTGAAACATCACGAACATGGCGCGCTCGCGTGATGCCATGCGATCGCAGTTGCATATTGCGTATTGTATTACACCCTTTCGCATCATAATGTAACGTTTGCACCAGTAGAAAACAGCACGCTTGCGACGCCAACTGCGATGCCATTTTGACATAAAAATTGACGCAATCAACAGCCACTTCCATGCCATCCCAGTCACTGTGATGGAAATATTTGTCTCGAAAGGGCATCGCAGCTGGCATCGCAAACATGCTTTTTTCTACCGGTGTTGACCATTTTATGTAGAGCAACAATAAAAATGTAGCGGTGCCAGGAAACGTGGAGCAGCCCCAACTGCGGCGCAAGTTTCTGGAGGG